CGCCCCTCCCGAACGATGAATGAATGTTGCTTATTATTTTTTACTATATGTGTCTACGTCATTGTTTGTATTCCCCCTTCCTGATTTTTATGTGAGCCGCCCTGAGTCCCCTCAGGGAAAAGGGCGGCCTACAAATGTTAATAAACATTCTAAACATTCTAAACATTTTATGAATAAATGAAAAATAAAAATTGGCACAGCTGTAAAAAAATATTATCATCAAATGAACAATTAAGAAGATAGAACATAGGGATAAGCTTTAATATTAAATTAAAAACATACATTTATTCCACCACTCATGATCAGGCCAAAGCACATTCATTCCAAATGCATCTGAAATAGCTTGTAAGCTACCACATCCTTGCTAGAAATTGTACAATAACTAATACAGATTTTGTCTATAGTTCTGTTGGGAAAACTGCAGAAAATTTCTGTTCTCCCTCGTATTGGCATTTATTTATCTATTTAAAAATATTTGTCAAGAGCCAGGAAAATTAGGAGATTCAATGTATGATGTACAAGGACAATAATGAACATAAGCATACCCGATAGATGATTGGTGGAATTAGGCATAATTGAAAATAGTGACATACCAATATAAATGGTTGGTTAAAATAATTCATATTGGGATTTGTGATTACATAAAGGTATACTGCTATCAAATAGACAATCAAGAATGTAAGGGAATTAGGTTTATTGGAAAAAAGCAATAATACTAATTGTAATTGAACATATGCTGCACAATGAAAGTGAGGTATTTAGTTATACTAGATGAAAAATCTGTGATGGTAAATGTTATTCGAGAATATGGATATAAAAACACTTGTAACCAAATGACATGCTGTATGTGATGATGGGGTTTTTTTGTTTTTCTTTTGTTGTGTGTTGTGTTGTTTGTTTAATAAAAATAAAAATTTATATTAAAAAAAAGAAAATTAGGAGATTCAGGTAGTTCAAATGAGTATATTTATTATAAACTTAAGTGCTCTACAAAAATCTGGCCAACTAATGGTCAAGGGAAATTCGCAGGAGTTAAGGACAGAAAGGAATTTCAGACTGGATCTCTTGGAGATGAAGACGGACTGGTGACTTACGATGTGTTTGACCCCTCCCTCGGGATCAGTCTGGTCATCTCCTACATTATATGGCTGTTCATATTGCAGCAACAACAGAAAATCCCAAACAATAAAATAAAAATAAAAAAACTCTATAAAAATACTATAAATATTCATGGTATACTACAGCAGCAATATTGCTAGCTATAGCTCCATGTTGCTGGCATCCATGAGGTGATTTATTTTATTTTCATGGTTAGCTGCTCCTTTGTATTCAGCTCTGGCCTCAGCAAAATTATGTAGCACTTGGGGGAAAAGATGCAGCCCAACAAGCCAGCACTAGATGTCAAAATGGAGAAGACCTGCACAGCCACCATGTACTTGCCCTTGGTGCTCAGATAGGTGGGCACAAAGGAGACCCAAACACTACAGAAAACCAGCATGCTGAAGGTGATCAGCTTAGCTTCATTGAAGGCTGCAGGTAGTCTCCGGGCTAGGAAAGCAACCGTGAAGCAGACAATAGCAAGGAAGCCCATGTAGCCAAGGGCAGAGTAAAACATGGTGACTGAACCTTCATTGCATTGCACTACAATCTCTCCAGCTTGGGAATGCATATCCAAGTCAGGGAAGGGGGGAGTAGTGCCCAACCAGATAACGCAGATCATAATTTGGACAACAGAACATGAAAGGACAATGGAATTGCCCAAAGACTTCCCCAGCCATCTCCTCATGCTATTGCCTGGTTTGGTGGCTAGGAAGGACAGCACCACCATGATGGTTTTGGCCAAGAGAGAAGAGACAGCCACTGAGAAAATGATGCTGAAGGCTGCTTGTCGAAGAAGGCAGGTGGCTTTCCTTGGCTGGCCAATGAAGAGGAAGGTAGACAGGAAGGAAAGCAGGAGGGAGCCAAGGAGAATGTAGGAGAGATCCTGGTTGTTGGCTTTGACTATTGGAGTTTCTACAAATTTGATGAAGATTCCCAACACAAACCCAGTGATTAAGGAAAGGAATAGCGCAAAGGCAGCTAGGATGATGCCCAAATGTCCCACATAAGAAAGGAAGGTTTTAAGTTTGCGAATGCATTTATCACTGTCCTTATTTGGATATTGATCTTCTGGACACTTGTTGCACTGTTCAGCATCTGAAAGAGTAAGTGTTAGAACTGAATCATGTTACAGCATGGTTTTTTTCCACCCCATTCAATAATTTATAATAATTGATACCAAAAGTCAGGAAAAAACCCACAGCTGATAATATTGGGGGGGGGGGGAATTGGCATAATAATATTATTCCATGCCCCAATCATCAACATTGACCCTACTGCATCTCTCCATGTCCTCAACAACCCTGACTTCCAAATAGCAATAGCAATAACACAGAGTTATATACCACATCACAATACTTTACAGCCCTTTCTAAATGGTTTTCAGAGTCAGCATATTGCCCCCAACAATCTGGCTCCTCATTTTACCAACCTCAACTTCAAACTAAACCTGGCGGAAGACATTTTCTTGTTCCTCAGTTGCCGCACAGGGGGGAAGGAGACTGGAATGCCTTACTAGACACAACAGAGAGCTTTCTCGTGGGAACCAAGGTCATCTCTTCTGGTTACTGATAAGGTCAGGGAAGGAGTGCCTGGAGAGCCTGCCAATTAACCTAATTGGCCAACATGACCTGTGATATTTGGGAATGGGATTATTTTCTATTTTAATTATACTGAAATTGCAGGAATTATTTACAGTTGGTTTTCCTTTAAGCAGTGCCGATGTGATGTACTCAATAAAGAAGTTCTTTGAGGAGGATTCTAGTGTCACAGTTCTGATTTGCTTGGGTTCATTAGTCAGATCATTGAGAGATGGAAGTTTGAGTCAACCTTGAGCCAGAGAGAAACAAACTCCTGACAGTGAGCTGTGAGTTAGCCTGCAACACTGTATTCTAACCACCACACCACCCCCAATGTCATTAATATGCAATGTTACTAGCATTAACAGAATATTAGCAATGTTGTTGTTTTGTATTTAGGATAAGTTACAGTCGAGGCCAATTTTTCCTATTTGGGCTAAAATGGATTGAACTAAAACAAGGCAATTAGTGTTAAATTCCTCTGGGAACTTTCATAGTTGATGTGCAATGGACACCTTAAATAACTTTAAGAAGCAAGAGGAAGAGCCACACAACCAACCAAAACAAATTTGATCTGGAGATAGAGATTTAATTTGAGAAAGTGTTTCAAACGTGACCCTCCCTACTTCTCACAATAGTGTGCTCAGATTTTCAAGATTCTGTTATAATAACTAATAATAAAAGTATATTGATACCAATATGCTTAGTTTCCTAGTCTAGTCTATCTCAAAGGACTCACAGGTGTGGGGTGGGTATTAGAAACTGGGCCTCTTTACTCCTGGTTCAACTCCTCCACTTGCATCCCGGTGGCTTTGAATTTGTGAGGAAAGAACTATCTCAGATCCCCTCAAGGAGCTTCTTGACTCTAGGTCTTCCTGCTTCTACTTCAGGTTCTTTACCTGTACATCACCTTACTTTGGGGCTGAGAGAGTGATTGACCAGAATCCCCTAGAGAGATGAGGATGGAAAGAACCTGGGACTCTGTGTACCTAATTCAGCTCCTTCATTCAACATTGAATAGGAGGAACCAGCTCAAAGCCCTCCTGCAGTTAAGCAAGAGTCAAGCCATCATCTATCATGGAAGTTTCCATTTGGATTCTGGCCCTAATTGATTCATTGGCTTTTTCCAATACTTAGATTCTATAACTTTCTCAAACTAACTTCTACTATGACACTTGTCCCTGCACTGAGAAAATGCATGATCCTAGCCACTTAAATATAAAGGAATTTCTGCAGTTGGTAAAGTAAACAATACATTGAGGTAAGCTGCCAGTGGTCCAGTGGTGATTCAAATAATTTTACAACCAGTTCATCCAGGATCAGATTGGCTGTCATGGGAGGCGTGGCCCAAACCTATCCGCCAACTCTACCGCACATGCAGGACAAACCTCCCGCAACGGCCAACCCGGCCCTGGGTGAACCAGTTGTTAAATTATCCCTGCAATCAAAGTGGATCCTGGTCGTTGCGCTGCACTGCAATGGAGAAATGGGCAACAGAGCGGCTGGCACAAGGGAAGGAGGAGGGAAAGCTGCCTTCTCCTTCCTTCACGCCGGCCACTCCATTGCCAATTTCTCCATTATGCTCGGTGCAGCGCCCAGAATCCATTTTGATAGCCGGAGGGTGGGTAATTTAACAACCGGTTTGCCCAAACCAATGCAAACCGGCTGAATCCCACTATTGATCTGGTCAATCCACAACTCTCCTTTAAAATCACTTTGTGTTCTGCCCCGGGCAATGAGGTTCTGCTCGGGCAGCCAGTTAACTCCACGCTTAGGAATATCTTTCAGATCACGTTTATTATCAGGCATCCTTAATAGCAAAACTTACAGTTCAGTGTTAAGATTCTTCTGACTTTCCATGATCTGTCCCATCACGTAGTGTAAAAAGACATTAATTCCTCTAACCCATGCTGCTGGTGCAAAGCTGCTTCTGGTAGTGCCGATGGCGATTCAGTGAGTGCCCAATAATAAAACAATTTCCCGGGCAGAGTACCCCACTGCCCAATCAGGGAACACAGATGTGGTCACATGTTATGGGACGACATTTCCCATAAGGTAGTTACATTTCCCATGAGGTAGTTTCTTAAAGGAGACAGCTCCTAATTCCTAAATTAGCTATATACTGTTGGGACAGCACACTTTGTAGAACACAATTTAGGGAATAAATGATGCATGTTGAGAATAAAATAGCAGTTAAGGGATCAAAGTCCTTTTAAATTACTCTTTGCCTTGGAAAGAAGTGGAGAGGTCTATTTCCCCAAATACAGCCTTCTACTTTGGAGTCACTCACCTTCGTGAACTGAGATGGTCCCTTCTGCACATGGAACACAATCATAGCAGCAAACTGGCTTCCCCTCTTGAACTACCTTAACAAATCCAGGGAGACAACTTTTTCCACACCTAGAGGGAGGCAGAAACTAATCACACAAGCAAAGAAGATCAAGGAAAATATATTAACAGCTGTTTATCTGATTTGGCTAAATACAGATAGTCCTCAGCTTACAACAGCTTGTTTAATGACCGTTCAAAGTTGCAACGGCACTGGAAAAAGTAACTTATGACCATTTTTCACATTTACAACCATCACAGCATCCCCATGGTCACATGATCAAGATTCAGACTCTTGGCAACTGACTCATACTTATGACAGATGCAGTGTCTTAGGGTCATGTCACCCCCCTTTGCCACCTTCTGACAAGCAAAGTCAATGGGGAAGTCAGATTCACTTAACCACCAGGTGAACTAACTTAACAAGTGCGGTGATTCACTTAACAAAGATGGCATGAAATGTTGCAAAATGAGGCAAATCTCACAACAAATGTCTCCCATAGCAACAGAAACTTTGGGCTCAATTGTGGTCATAAGTCGAGGACTGTCTCTATAAACTAGCCCTCTCAGAACTGATATTTATTTGGTTTTTTGTTTGTCTATTAAATTTGTTGCCGCCCATCTCACCACAAGGTAATATATTCTTTGTTACCCTTCCCTACGTCCCCTGTCAGGCCTGTTGAAAGAGCCAGGTCTTAATCACTTTGCGGTTTGATTTAGTGTGATTCACTTTTCTGGATCAAATGGAATAAAAAGTGAATAGACAAATCATTTGAACCTTCTTCCTTCCTTCTTTAATTCCTTCCTTCCCTTGTCTCTCTCTCTCCCTCCCTTTCTTTCTTCCTTCCTTCTTATATATTTTGCCCTCAGAAGAAACTTCCAAGCTCATCTTGGCTTACTTTCAGACAAAGAAAAATTATTGTTTACTATTACAAATTAGGGCATTATTTAAAAGCACTAAACTAATTATTCTATATGTTTAGCTGATTCATTTAATTTCCTGCTCTGGGCATTGAATTGGACTGATTAGCAAAAAGCACAGAGAAAATTATTGTTCACATATTCTTTGTTTTCCCCACTCCTTCTCTTCTGTTTTAAAAATGGACATATTAGTTTTGTTGTGCAAAAATGTGAAACTATATAGTTTACACTAAAAGAATTATACATAGATTAATACAGTAGTACCATTAATAAAGCACTAACAAATCAAAAAGAACTAGGAACAAGATACAAAGGCAAACACACACACACATACATTTACCGTATTTTTGGAGTATAAGAAGCATCTTTTTCCATCAAAAAAGAGGGTGATAATCTAGGTGCATCTTATACACTGAATACAGCATTTTTGGCCTCTTGAAACTCCTCCCCCTTTGCAAAAATGGCCATGCATAGCTTTTAGGAGGCTTCCAGAGTGCTCCTGGGGACTGGGGAGGCAGAAATGAGTGAAAAATGGGTCGTTTTTT